CCCCAAAACCCCAAAACCCCAAAACCCCATAAAAATAAAAAAATGTTGAGTTTGAAAGATATATTATTTTAGCTATGTCTGTTTTACCTTTGTTTAGTCACCATTAAATTACTGCATCCAGCTTGAACTCTCTTGTGCATTACTAATAGGTTCATCTTTTAGCTGATTTTCTGAAAAGAACGACTCCTCAGGACCATCATTGATAATACTTGCATTAGCCTCATCTATTTTTCCTTCCCCAACATTCTTAAACAATTGAGTGTCCAAATAACTCTTAAAAACAGCAAATTCCGTATCTGCCATACCGCTTTCCCAATCTACAACCTCATCAAACACACTAGGCTCAGATAACAATCAAGAATCACTAGAACCATCACTTTCAGGCCCATCCTCCAATTCTCCCCTTCAGCCCCCATAATCTCCCCCTCCTGCTACAACTCCACTCTCATTTTCCACTGAGCCTGCAGTCTTATCTCCAAATCCCAATCCATAAAATTCCTTAAGTTCTTGCTTATAATCTCTCACTGGCTGAAACTTGGCTCAACTAGTACATTTTCAGTCTGCTAGGCCTATGCCATTAAGACATTTCTGCTTCTTCAAGGCCCATAAGGAGTTTAAAACATGTAGATGTCACTATAGGGTTAGAATGTTAGTCTGGACAGGATGGAGGTGGTTTAAGAAAGAAAGTTTTGAAGGCGAGGGTAGAGAGTTAAGTTGGGAATTTTAGTGATGGCTAGTAGCCAGAAAGTGGATGGGAGAGGGTGAAGAAGAGGGGATGTGGTGACTTACTATTTTAGACGGGATTTGGGTTGGTTTGTGATCTTGAAGGTTTGATGGGGATTTTTGGGGGAATAATGCACAGATTTGGCAGAATTTAGGGCTGCATTTGTGTTCGGAAAGATCCCTGAAGGGGTAGGATTGTTGGTTTAGGTTAGATAAATCTGAAATAGCGTCTAATTCAGAATCTTTAGGGAATATATCAGCGAAGTCTTCAAGAGATGAGTGATTAGTGTTTTGATTGATCGAGAGGTGCGGAATTTGATAATTACTCTCCACACACCCCTGCATATACTCCTCCAACCCCTCCATCCTATACTGCATCTTCTCAATCTCCCTCTCTTCCTCCCCTTCCTCCCCTCCACTACTCTCATCCATCTCCTCTTCCCACTGCTCATCCCCATCCCCCTCTTCAGTACTCCACCCTTTCATTTCCTTCTTCCTCCTCTCTGCGCCTTTCTTTCCTTTCATAATACATCTAAGTTCAAGCCTACTAATCTCTATTTTCTCTCTCAAATCCTCCAGCATCCTCCTCATAGACTGCACATAAAACCCTAAATTCAAAACCATGAATGACTCATAAGGATTCATACTATCTCTAGTAGAGAATTTAGAAGGGTGGGCGCTGGAGAAGTAGGATTCGTACTGGGAAGGGGAGTGGGAGAGGAAGGTTTTTAGCTTAGTAGAGAGGGTTTTGAGGGATTTAGGAATTGTGTGGGTGAGGTAGAGGAAAGTGGAGTTGAAGGATTTGTGGGATCTAGGGGTGAGAGGGGGGTAGAGGGAGAGGGAAGGGGTACATGGGGTGGAGAAGGAGTGGGGGATTGTGGTTTGGAAGGTGGTCAGGATTGTGGTGTTTAGGTGCTCTTCGATGGTTTTTGGAGGGGGTTGGACTGCTAGAGGGAGTTAGTTTTGGTAAGGGGGTTGGAAAGAGAATTTGGGTTACCTGAGGAGTCTTGGGTGTTACTGTTCATGTCCTGATCTTTATCGCTGTGTGAGCTTTGACTATTTGATTGAGAATATCCATCCAAACATTGAGATTTATATATACGATTTTCACTCAAGGATCTAACTTTTTCTTTCTTCATTTTAATGTTCATTTTCAATTTATTAGTAACAATTTGGGGTTTTGGGGTTTTGGGGTTTTGGGG